TTTATTTCATGTATTCCGTTATTCATCCATCAAATCTGACATTTATTTCTTATTTCTTCACTTTGATTTGTTCATTTTAAACTTAAGATTTGTTTTCTAATATCATGTGATTCAGTTTATTCATAAGAGAGTCGAGCATTGTCTGCAAATGATCAGGTTGATGTGTTATGTATATAACAAAGCCTTATCAAACACTTTCCATTGTAGAATGCACCTCATCCTCAAGATGTCGTGATGTCAACCAGATGGGAATACCCTTATAGTAGAGAGGTGGCTGCATATCCAGCTGTAAGTCATCATAATAAGATCTTATTATCAATACTAGAACTAGGGAAAAAAGCAAAGTATACTCCTTATTGACAAAAAGGGCCAACATTTTCAAAGAAAGGCTAAAATCTCGAAGCTAAGCGCGAAAGGAAGMGCGAAAGAGCAAGAAATTAGTATGGTATTATAATATATCGCTGACTAGAGAAATATATACTAATTTCTTTGCTTCGTGGATGAAATGGACTTTTTAATACCTACCATGTTTTTAGCTAGCTCTATTTTTGGTATGAAACAAGTTGAAATGGTGCTGTAGCGTCTGCTGTAGCTACAATCATGGACAATATACATTTGGACACGACAATAAACAGTAACTCGACTTTGCACATCGTGTTCGTTTTCAACTGACGACATCCCCCTACATTCCCTCCCCCTCTCCCCCACGGTCAATGTTGTTGTTGTACACGATGTAATGGTACTAAAGCATGGGGGAAAAAAAGAAATGAAAAAATATCCACACAACATTGTACAGGGGGCACGATATTCTACCGAATGGATTTCGTGTTGTGAAATTGTAACTTTGTTACAGTAACACGTTGCAATAGAGCGGATTTCGTATGAGTGGGACACCGTTACCGCACAGTTACCGGACCTGGCCTGCACAATTTTTGTGAACCAATGGGGCACTAGAATTTGGTTACAGTACKATTACGGTCACAGTACAGTACCGTCCGTTTCCCACTCATACGAAATCCGCTCTATCACACGTAAAGTCAATGTCAATTGTAGGCAAAGTGTGATTATTTTTTGTCTCTCCCTGCTGATTCAGTGTTTAATGGTTGTAAATTTTGTTCTTATTAATTCTCTTTCAGCCATGGCTTAAAGGACACACTAAGTTTTGGCCAGGGTGCTCAAGGGTAGACGATAAACATGGTGATCAACATCTTGTTTGTACATGTCCACCGATGGAGAGTTATGACTATGAGAAAACTAAGGCATTCACATAGATATTTAGTTTAATAAAAGCTTGGCTGAAGTATTCATCATCACCATCATCCATCACCATCATAATTCACAGCAAGTTATGAAATAACTATATCAAGATTAACAACTTTCGTTTTAGCGGACAAATTTGGGGTCTATAAATGGGGTCATTTTCTGTAATTTCTTGTTTGTGTGGATATATTTAAGTCTTGCTAAAGTGATGGTTAAGTTTTCGTAATATCGGCCCTGCCAGAGTTGGCTGTATTAAAAAAAAACATAAAGGTCCGCTTAAGCTGGTGATTTTTGCGGTCATTTTAATCCAAAACAATATTGTTATAGAATCAACTCGTAAGGTTTATTCACTTGACACTAAGATGAGCTGACTTAAAGTCTCTTCACATGGATAAGAAAAAAATCTAGTATGCTAATGGTTTTTAAAATCGCCCGAAAAATCTCATCAGCGAAAGTTGCTTAAAAAATCGTCATTATGAACAGGCCTTAATTAGTTAAATGTATTGTACAGCGGTAATTATATTTTTTTCAGAGCCGGGGTGGGACTTTCTCTTTAAAGCAGCTCTTTTTTCATCAACATCAACAAAGTGACCAAAACTATTACAAGGACGTTAAGTTTCTTTTTCATCTTGTGTTATTTCATGAAAGCTCTCTACACTGAATTTATAATTGCATAAATGGATCCTATATACAAACATTGATGTTTTTACTTTGCACGGATCTCCAACAAAAGCACTCCACCAATACTATTGTTTTATTTGTCAAATCATGATAATGCAGATTTTGCAAAATAAATTTACTGAATAAATTGAATGTAATGAATTTTGCTTTATTACTTCTATTCCTAATGGCGATCGTTTCTTTCTTTTCGCTGCGCTCCAAAGGGTTCATGGGAAGAGCATAAAACATATGTTATTTTCATTCAAATCGTCCTTATTTTAATCATTTGCAATGCGCTGTCAAAAATAATTATCCCTTGTGGTCCAACTGCACCCTCAGGTCCTTGAATACCCTGTGGTCCTGGGTACCGTGTGGTCCTTGAATACCCTGTAGTCCTGGGTACCGTGTGGTCCTTGAACACCCTGTGGTCCTGGTGGACCTGGGATATCCTCGAGTGATTTTCAACATGAAAAGATAAAACTAGTATGATCTCCAAGCGACCATTTTTATAAAATTTTTCGAGCGAAAAGAAAATTTTGCCGGTAAGCCGT